TGGTGAGGGAAAAAGCTAAACAAAGGATATTAGATTCAGAGCTCTCGTTTTAATTAAAAAAAAAGGGTGGAAGTGGTGTGGGACAATGGTCTGGATACTGTCAATATTTTAAATAAATGCTGATTGGCCAGTAGCCAGGCAGGAAATGTAGACAGGACAACCTGACAGGAAGTAGATATGGGTCAGTGAGAACAGGAGAATTCTCAGACGAAGGAAGGCCTAGTCCGCAGTTGTGATGTAGTCACAGAAGAAGTAAGATGTGACTGCCTTGCTGAATAAGGTACCAAGGCAAGTGGTAGCATCACAAAACTAATAAGCTAATATAAGTTATAAGAATTAATAAGAAGCCTGAACTAATGGGGCAATCCATTTATAACTAATGTAGACCTCTATGTGATTTCTGTGGGACTACACAATTGCAGGAACCAGGCAGCACAGAAAACCCAACAACAAATTGACGGTGCAATCTTAGAGTCTACCACCTTAAGGTGTTGACACATTTTAAGCTTGAACAGTTCAGATGCTACAGCTCTGAGGGTCTGGCTTCTCTGTCTAATGCTATCATCCTTATGCCCCATATCTCTGCTTTCCACAGAGATAGAAAAAGTTCTAACTTCATGTTTTCACATTATTCTGTTTCCTGTCATTCTAATTTATTCTTTCCTTATTTCTTTTCATTTTTCTTGTAGTTGTGAATTTCAATGTAGCATCTCATATCTGTTAGCATTTCTGTTGCTAGTATCCCATGAGATTCTTGAGTACACCCTGAACACTGAGACTTCCGGGTACACCCTGAACACTAAGACATCTTGAATACACCCTGAACACTGAGATGTCTTGGGTACACCCTGAACGCTGAGACATCTTGAGTACACCCTGAACACTGAGACATCTTGAATACACCCTGAACAGTGAGATGTTTTGAGTACATCCTGAACACTGAGATGTCTTGAATACACCCTGAACACTGAGATGTTTTGGGTACACCATGAACACTGAGATGTCTTGAATACACACTGAACACTGAGATGTCTTGAGTACATCCTGAACACTGAGATGTCTTGAATACACCCTGAACACTGAGACATCTTGGGTACACCATGAACACTGAGATGTCTTGAGTACACCCTGATCACTGATTACAAAAATGACTATACAATTTTTCCTAAACACCTTTACCTTCATGAAAGTATGCTGAAACCTAGTAAAAGAGTTTGTTATAATTGAGCTCAGGTGTTGACATTTGATTTTTTTCCTCTTTTCTAGCACGTGTCCTGTTTGTAGAATCATCTCTGAAACTAGCAGTGTGGATTGAAATAAACATTTTTAAAATCTTTTTAAATGTATTAATTTTTTAAATTAATTAAAAGATTAATGTGTTTAATCTTTTGAATGTAGGTGTTTGCCTAAATATCTGTGCACCATGTACATGGGCCAGAAGATGATGCTGTGAATCTATGGAACTGTGGTTGCAGACAGTTGTGAACAATCATGTGTGTCCAGAGAACTGAACTCTCTCCTTTGGAAGAGAAAAAGTGTTCTAAAACATGACCAGTCTCTCTGGACCTGGAATCCCTGTTTGCAATTCACTTTAGAAAAAAATCAAGAAAGTATAGAATGTTTTAAGATTAATTTTTATTTTAGTTTATATGTGTGAGCATGTGTTCATATACTTGTGCATGTGGGTAGCCCTCTAGGCCACAAAAGGGTATTAGATTCCCTGGTACTATAACTATTAGTGATTGTAAGCTGCCTGACATGGATGCTGGGAATCAAACTGGTTCTCTGGATGACTAACAAGTGTTCTTAACTGGTGACCTGTCTATCCAGCCCAAAGGATTTATTAATATGTTTATTAGATACCAAGCAGTATATCTCTGATCTCATATAAAATTTTAAAAGTGGTATCTTGAGAAAAATGTTAAGAATTTATTAAAGGAAGAAGTGTGCTTCAGAATGGCATGTAGGAGTCTTTCTGTCATGAGCACATTTTGATCACATGGAGTCAGATGTTCTTTGAATTAAAGTGTTCAAACTTAGTGATGTATGATGAAAAGAATACACTCTGAGACCCTTAATAGTGTTACAATAGACTCTCAATACAACAGATAATAGTTTTGTTCATGGAGATTCCAATCTAAGTCAGCTTTAAAAGCTAGATCCTGAAACTGTGAGTGACAGATTCATTGACATTTTATATAGGTATATCAGAAGCCATGACTTTCTGTGTGGATGGGGTTCTTTGGAAATACTTCAAACATCAAAAGACATATTCTCATCATCTACTGATGAGAATACATAATCAAATAGAAGCTTTTGTTTGCGCAACCTCCCAAGACTTACATTTTTTTGAATTAATGTAGTTTTTCTATTTCTATGGATAATTAGGTAAAATAATCACAGAGAGCTATACAGATGAAACAATACAATCTCAGGTGAATTTATTTCAAAGGTAGGGCTTTTTTAAAAACTTCAAACATTATCTCAAATTATAAGGACAAAATTACATATCTACAGAGACAAAGGAAAGATAAACTATTCATATTAACCAGTTAACTTGGAGGGTACCTGAGAAATAAAGTAACAAGTTATTTCTCACCTTATAGAATTACTATTTGTATTTAACACCTTTTTGTTTTCAAGAATAATTAAAGAGTTATTTATGAAACAACAACAAAAACTATGTGGAAAAGTATACTTCCATCATTATCTTATTGATAGGCTCTTCAGCCTGAAACACAAAATAACAACATATGAATTATATTAAAAAATTAGAATAGCTAAATTTTTATCTTCATATCTTCTTTCCTTGAATTTCATAAAGTTTATATTGCAATTACCGAATTTTTTATATTACTATACATTTAATGTTTATGAGTATTGCAAATGGATTGTGTTTAATAGAGATATGTGAAAAATTTGCTATAAACTCTAGTAGTACATCCCCATTCTGTCTGAATATTGTTTGTATATATTTAGCACAGAATATTCTATAAGTGAACATAAGAAATGCTGATTATGCCGAGAAAACAAGTCCCAGAGCCATTATCAATGGCTTCTCAGACAGTCTCCGTGTCAGCCACATTCAGAGAATCCGGTTTGAACACATGCTCGTTCAGTCCCAGTCCAGCAGGCCTTGTTGAGCTCTCATTAAATCAGTCCCATTGTATCAGTGGGTGGGTGCACCCCTCACGGTCCTGATTTCCTTGCTCATGTTCTCCCTCCTTCTGCTCCTCATTTGGACCTTGGGGGCTCAGTCCAGTGCTCCAATGTGGGTCTCTGTCTCCATCTCCATCCATTGTCGGATGAAGGTTCCCTCTGATCCTGACTTCCTTGCTCACGTTCTCCCTCCTTCTGCTTTTCATTTGAACCTAGTTTCCTCTGCATGTACTGGCTTTTTGGGATCCTAGTCTGTTTGGATGCTCACCTTCCTAGACCTGGAGGGACAGGGGAGGAACTTGAACTTAACACAGGGTAGGAAACCCTGACTGCTCTTAAGACTGGAGAGGGAGGAGGAGAGGGAGTGTGGAAAGTGGGGGGGGGTATTGGGAGGAGGGGCGGAAGTGGAAACATTTATAAATTAATAAAAAAAAGCACAAAAAGGAATGCTGCTTATGCAGTGAGAATTTAATAAGCTTCTTAATCGTATTTTCAACTTTAAGTCTAGGAAAGAATTAACTAGCAAATAAAAGTAAATGAAAACAAAGATGAAAATAGATGCAAATTAAAATTTAAGCACAAAACAAACAAAAAGATAAATAAAGGTAAAAGGGAGGAAGAACAGATGGGAGAAAAAAGGAGGAGGAGGAAGATAAAGCAAGGAAGAGGTGGAGGAGGAAGATAGAACTTTACACATTTATGCACTTCATACATGGGCCGATAAGTGTTGGATACAGGGATGTATCCCTGTAAGCTCCCAAAGTATCCAAAAACCATGAGAAATGGAAGCATACTGTAAAGGCTAAAAATCTCAATGATTATGAATGCAGGTAATGAAAAAAGAATAAGTAACATTAAGTATTATTAATTAGCCAAAAAATTATTAGGGAAATGAAACTAGCCAAATCACAGTGTAAAAGTGCAGTAGGAGAAGATGGCATATACTTTCAGTCTTATTACTGAAGAGGAAAGGGCAGAGGAGAGATAACACATTCTAAGACAGCCTTAAAATATTCCAAAATCCTATTTTAAAATAAAAAAAAACACAATTAAAGAGCTCAGTGGAAAGATTGTGAAGTCCCTTTATGTTCCTTCATTTTTATTCTTATGGATATTTCTCCCTTCATGGGAGAACTGGAGCTCTCTCAGGTAAATACTTTTCAACACCTTCCCTGTAAACACCCAATACCCATCCCCAGTCGCCAGCTGCCCTGTTTAGTACATTGCTTTTATCTATTTTGAATCTGTCACTCTTCAATTTGATACACAATGTGTAACTATAAATTACATGGTATAATTGTGTTCTGATACCCCCCACACTGAATTACCATAAGGAAAGTTGACAGGATGGCAATAGGGTTGATAAAATGGAACATTCTTATGAATGTTCTCATTCATATAGAAACCGATCCAGTATCCAGATAACTAATATCATCTCCTTCTCCGGTTTTAGGGAAGAAGCATTCACTAGCAGAAGCAAGAGTATACCATCAAGTACAAGAAGGTAGCCCATAGTAGAGGACTGGGAAGGGCTGCTATGGCTATGATGGGGCAGGCATTAATATAAAATAGTCATAGCATTTTGTAGATAGGAGTAGCTCTTTGACATTTGTTACAACACTCATAAATGTACTGTGCAGAAAACTATTCAAATGCAACTACAATTACAGAGATTACTATTCCACTTTTGTAAACCAGGAAGCACACAGATGTATCAAAGGATGAGACTGTTGGGTACCACACCTGTTGCTGAGAGTATATAAACCCAGCTGTCCACAGGGTGACATCCAAACACAGAATCCTCTCAGGTACATCCAACTGAGCTCACAGATCCTCTCAACATGGCCTACAGCTGCTGTTCTAGGAAGTCCTCCTCCTCCTGCTCCTTTAGGCGCTGCCTGTCTTCTTCAGGTTCCCCCTGTGGCTCTTCCTACCCCAGCAACCTGGTCTACACCACTACCAGTTGCTCTCCCAGCCCCTGCCAGGTGGAATCCTCTGTGAACACTGGCTGTCAGGAGATCTGCATTGAGCCTACCAGCTGCCAGAGGTCCTGCGTGGTGTCCAGGCCCTGCCAGACAGTCTGCTATTACCCGAGGACCTCCACATTTTGCAGTCCCTGCCAGAGAACATATGCTGGGTCTCTGGGCTTTGGATCCAGCAGCTGCCATTCCCTGGGCTATGGATCTAGAAGCTGCTACTCAAGGGGCTGTGGATCCAGTGGCTTCAGATCTCTCAATTGTGGGATCTCTGGATTCCCTTCCCTGTATTATGGGTCTAGATTCTTCTACCCAGAATACTTGGCTTCTACAACATTCCAACCTTCTTGTGATAGATCAATCTATGGCATTGCCTTCTAGGAATCTGACTGCTAAGTCTCCATATCCCTATAATATCAAAATCAAATTCTCTATGTCCTATAGACAATCTATTATTCTCATCTTCCACTGTTTGTCTTTCCACCAACAATTCTTTAATAATCAAGCTCTGTTAGAAGCTTAATGTGTAATCCCATATTATGCCTAAACTTTTTGTTATTGATATTCTGCTATTTGCTGTTCATTCAAACATATTTGAAAACTAAAATTTTAATCCAATAAATTTATGCAATCAGAGGCATTAATTCATTGTTCATACTATTATTATATTGTTATTATATTTATATTTATGGATACATGGGACTTATTAAAGATCAAAATTTATGCAATTTGTGTTTGCAAATAATTAATTTGGTTGGGGGAATATTCCTTATTTGTAGTGGTTAGTAATTGGAAGACTGTAATTTGAATGCAAATAAGGCTCACAAATGTGAGCATTGCCTATGATTGAAGTATATGACTAAATGTTATCCATCAAGAGTGTATTATTATATATCTCATGGGGTTTATGTATATTTTCAGAGAAAAAGCTATTTAAGTCTATTATGTTAATACGAATTTTCAACCAAGAGAATAGAATGGTCAGCTTCCAAAGAATCTCAAGACATGTCCTTCTATTTATCTGAAATTCTGATACCTCTTCCACCCAGGGTTTAGGCACTCTTTCTGCCTATCTTTTCAAAATATTTGACAGGAGAATGACAACCATCTTAAGTGGTAATAACTGGGTCTAGGAATCAAAGCATCTTCCTGATGCTTCTCCAACTCAGCTCCAGCCAACCTAGAAACAATGCTGAACAGTTTTACTCATTCGTTTTACTCTGATTGTCAACATCAAAGATTTGAGTGTAGTTAGTTTGAAATAAGTTTCAAGAAAAGAAAGGAATAGTGTATTGTCTATTACTATATCAGCGTGGTCCAGAAGGTAGTACTGGTCTCCTGGAAGAGATCATAGATGACCAGAGACAGGAATGCATAGACTGCAACTTTAGGGCTCTCTCAGTTGTGACCCAAAGGAAAGTGCCAGGGCTGATCCAGGGCAGGGATTCTCTAACAATACAGTAGAGTCTGTGGGCTGGAGAACAGGGTTAAAGTACTCAGACTTCAGGAGTTCCACAGCAGGAGTTGAGGGAGAAGTGAGGATGAGATCATAGTTGCCTCAGCAAAGAGCATTCATATCTGGGAAGCCTTGGAAGAAGGCAGCAAAGGAGAGTGTCTACCTATGGACTTCACCGGACTTGGCTCAGTTTTTTAGTTTTAAATTTGGTAGAATTTATTTCATGAAGTTAGATCCATCTGTATATTGCTTTTTTTTCAAAAAACAAAATTCCAATCCTTCCACTTTGCCAATAAAGACTCAGGAGCCAGATGCTATGGTGAAAATCAGCTTGTTCAGAGAGGCAAAGAAATCGCCCAGATGACCTTCCTCCTCTTATTGATGTCCCAGAAAAAGGTGCTTTCTCTTACCTCATATGGTGTCTCAGACAAGACTCCTCAGCACAGTGCCCCTCCATTCTACTTCCTGTGTATCTTTCTATCCATCCTCCAGACTTGATCTTACTCTCTATGGTTACTTCCTGTCATCAGGTTGATTGCTCGGCCTTGATCTATAGGATACTGTTTTATTTAATCCTCGTTACAATAAGAAGTAATCTCTTAGATTAAAGGTATATGAACTGGCCAATCCACATCACAACTAGAAACAGGTTTTACTAATAAATAAGACCACCTCAAGGTCCAGAGTGTGATCAAACATCCTGAAACATTTGACACTTTTGTCTCAACGCAAAGGAAAGGTTTGAACTCTAACACAGTAAATTTATTTACAATAATGAAGCTATTCCTGCCAAGATTTCCACAGTATCTAACTATTTGGTAGTCTAAAATTAAGTATTTCTGGGTTCAAATTACTGTAAAGTGTTCATATCAGTCTCATCAGAACTCAACCATCTGAATATCCTGAGAAGTTTGTAGGCTAAAAATGAACCTATGGCTGGTGTTTGTTAGCTTAGTTGCAAACCTGGCTAGGTAGAACTCAGCATTCAGCATCATGTGGTTCTACAGCAGGAAGGGGCAGGCACTCAGGCAACATAGTGGCATGGGTGGCAGTGCTAATCTGGGGCTCTGAGCAGGGATTTCTGGCCAATCAGCTTGAGGTGGGTGATACCATTTGGCCAATTTACTCTTTTTCTTGTGATTTGTTCCTTGATGATGTTTCAGTTGTTCCGTGAAACATATACAGTTTCTTATCTGGATTTCTTATCTTTATCTGGAAAGATAAAAGCGAAACCCTCTCCCAACCCTAACTCTGGGACGTTCCTTTTTTTAAAAAATAAAATTATTGCTTTATAAATAATACCACTCAAAATTTCCACTTCCTCCCCTCCTCCTATTTCCCTCCTGCTCCCCTTCCCTTTTCCTCTTGGTCCTAGGAGAGGGCAGTGTACCCTGCCCTGTGGGAAGTCCGAGGCCCTCCCGATTCCATCCACGCCTAAGAAGGTGTGCATCCAAACAGACTAGGATCCCAAAAAGCCAGTGCATGCAGTAGAAACAAATCCCAGTGCCATTATCATTGGCTTTTCAGTCAGCCCCCATTGTCAGCCACATTCAGAGAGTCCAGTTTGATCACATGCTCATTCAGTCCCAGTCCTGCTGGCCTTGGTGAGCTTCCATTAGCTCAGGCACACTGTCTCAGTGGGTGAACCAACCCCTCGTGGTCCTGACTTCCTTACTCATCTTCTCCCTCCTGCTGCACTTCAACTGGACCTTGGAAGCTCAGTCCATTGCTCTGATGTGGGTCTCTGTCTCTATCTCCCTCCATTGCCAGACCAAGGTTCTATGGTGATATTCAAGATATTCATCAGTGTGACGGTGGTACAAGGACAGTTCAGGCACCCTCTCCTCTGCTGCCCAAGGACCTAGCTGGGGACATCCTCTTGGACACCTGGGAACCCCTCTAGGGTCAAGTCTCTTACCAACCTTAAAATGGCTCTCTTAATTAAGATATCTTCTTCCCTGCTCCCATATCTGCCCTTCCTCCATCTCAACCAATCCTCTCCCCCAAGGTCTCCCCAATCCTCCTCCCCTTCTCCCTTTTTTCTCTCCCCCATCTCCCCTTACCCCACCCCATCCCTGTAAGACCCCGCCTTCCTGTGGATACCCACACCCGATCCAGGCGGGGGCCTTCCTGAACTCTGGCCCACGAGAATGGACGACTGTCCTGAGGGTTTAAAACAGACACACACAAAAGAGACCTTGCTCACTTACCAAGAGTAAATGGCCACTTTATTAAACTCAAGTCAGGTATTTATACCAGTGGGCAAGGGGGATCAAAAGGGCAAGGCCTCCTCCCATCAGGAGCAGGAGAAGGGGATTAAAGGCCCGGCACCTCAGGCAGAATCAGCTGGGAGGGGTCAGGTGTGTGGAGCCCACTGCTAGAACCTTGAATACAGGTGGAATCACCATAACAAAGAGAGCCAGGTTCTTCCTAAGCTATCCCCTCAAGCCAGTGCTAGTGCAGAATCTCCAGGGAGCCGGAGGTCACAAGGCCCTGCGAATAGCCAGGAAGAAGGGAAAAAGACCTTGGTACCTACACACCCCCCACTCTTACCTACAGCTAAATGATTTTGTCAACAGAAAAAGTATTATATTTCCATCAAAAAATTCTTCTGAAATTCTGAAACCAAAAATACCATAAACTATGCAGAGAGAATCATAACTATATACTGTATATATAGGATATAGGTATCATATATATATATATATATATATATATATATATATATATGATTTAAGTGTATTTATTTTTAGACCACAGTGGACATTTAGTTTGAATTTCAGCCTTCTTTTAAAAAGTAGGTTTTAAATTTAAATTATGTACCTGCCTCTTTTTCCCAAAGGGTGGGATTTAAGGTATTGACCACTGCCGAACTATGGCGTCCTTAAAATATTTATTCCCATAGGGTTGTCCTGTTTAGTTTGGTTCTCCATTTCCCCTGTTTTTCAGTGTTAGGGGTAAACTGTCAACTTTTTCTAATGAGTAATCTATCATTCTTATGGATATTTTGAATTTGTCCCTAGAAAATTTGAATATGTTAGTTTTAATCAACATGATGACACTTTGTCAACTATTTCATTATTTTCAGACATTTTTTAGTCTTGCCTTTATGAGCTATAATATTTGACGTCTTTACTAAGCTTTGCTAGGGTGTGCCATTTCCATTCACGACTCCCATGACAAGATATCCTTGCCATTTATCTACCATTGAGTGGTTTTCCATTTTTATGACCATATATTCATACCATTGCAAATACACCATGAATTGGAGAAAATATAGTTGTTTTTTTTCTTTTGTTTTTTTAACTTAGTTGTGTTCTTAGTTGTCTAAGAACAGATCCTATCCATCATTGTAAGGACACCCTATAACCATAGAGTGGTTGGCAATTACTGAATATAAGGTACTCCATGCCTCATCTCAAAGAAAGAATATGTTTTCTCCATATATGGAAAGCTTTTGAAGTCAACAAAAAAAGAGTTGGTGGGCTCCTTTGTGCTTTATGAAGTTTCCAGTTGCCAGTTCACCTATACTTGTGATATCCATAATCATAATATCATCCTGTTTGATACTGGCCAGGGTTGCATGAGTGGAGAAGATCTTACCAGCACTCACAAAAGCTGCTCTCCTTTTCCTGTCCCCAGTGGAAATCAGCTGCATTTCTAGTAACTCTGTAGAGCGTTTTTATAATAATCGGTAAATATGATACGTACTTTCTATAGTGCAAAAACATACCAATTAGAGCCCCTGGATATGTTGGGATTAAAGTCTTGCCCCCCCCCTTATTCACTCTATCCCTAGAATTTAGAAAAAGAACTAATTAGAGAGATGAACTAGTCTCTTTGGGATTAAAGACATGGACTACCACTGCCCTGCTCAAACATTTTATCTTAGCTCCAAATCACTCCACCACTTACTGATTTAGAA